ATTGCTTGAGTATACTATGTACGTCACGATCGTATCGTCCTGCTATCTGGATTATCCTTGAAAAGCATGAACCAAGGGCAGACGATCACGCAACTGATCATGACAGGCGTAGCCTCTCGAAGCTCGTACATTTCATTCTAATGGACAGCCGCGATTGACACCATGGTCAGGCTTTGCATACATGCATAGCCCTCAACTCGGACGATGTCTATGCCCGATGTAGAGCTTCTGCCCCCAAGCCTAAAAAGTTATCCTACGTTGCTCGCTTCGCACTCATCGATGAAGACAATAACGAAGCAAATCCGTCGACGATTCCACCCAGACTCGCTTCCTTGCTTGATCATGAGATCATCCTTCTGATTGACAGCCTGGGCTTTGCCCGGAAAAGATCATATTTGAAGGATTGTTCCTGAAATAGCACAAGCATCAGGCTACCTGGTCTTGCAGGGGCAACCGAGGGTGAGGACCAGCTGAGCGATGGGTGGGCAGTGCACATCAAGGTACCTGTTCGTTAGCATCAGCCATTCATACAATTTGTTCCCGGGCTAGCCTGTTCAAAGTTACACTGCTTCGGATCAATGTAGCGCCTAGCTCTACAGATACAAGAGATCGTATCCTGTGGGCGACGGAAAGAACTCGTGGGGGATGAGTCGGATGTCGCTGATGACGGTGCGCAATATATGTACTCTCCACATTCGCGCAGCAGCGAGGGCGGCTGGGACAAACGTTTGCTGCAGTCATTCCAGCTGTCAAATCAACGCCGCACAATCGATCATCCAGTGATTTACCCTCCCGGCAAAACGCACCGGATTCGGCCCCTGACCCTCTTAATCCTATAAAGCCGTTCTGTCAGTTGTGAGCTCCATCGCCCCACACAGTCCCCACACACACTCAGCCCCCAGCCATGTCTTACAACCAAGATTCCGACAACAACGACTCGTATGGCTCGTCCAACCAGGATCGTTCCAATAACAACGATTCGTATGGTTCTTCCAACAACAACAACGATAACGATAACTCGTACGGCTCGTCGAACAACGATTCGTATGGGTCGTCCAACAATGACTCCTATGGATCATCCAACAACAACAACAATTCCAACGACTATGGTTCCTCCGCCAATAACCGCTCGTCCAACGACGACTCTTACGGTTCCTCCGGCAACACTTATGGGTCTTCCAACGACAACGATTCCTCCAACAACCGCTCGTCCAACGACGACTCTTATGGTTCCGGGGGCAACAACTACAGCTCTTCCAACGACAACGATTCCTCCAACAACCGTTCCTCCAACAACAATTCCAACGATGATTCATACGGATCGTCCAACACATCCAATACCTACGGTTCCTCCAACGATGACGACAACAATCGTTCTTCCAACCAGGATTCATATGGGTCGTCTAATACCTCTAATACCTATGGTTCCTCCAACAATGACAGCGACAACTATGGCTCCTCTAATAACAACAACGACACCTCGTCCTCCAACCGCGATCAGTGGGTTGATAGAGGTGTGAAGGAGGCAGCGAGCCATGCTGGATACAACATCGTAAGCCTACGTTTCTCCATGAATTTTGCATAGTCTAACCTGATATACCTTTCAGGACGACGACACTGCAAACAAGATTGGCGAGGGCCTCAAGGAGGGCTTCAAGAAGTTCGGCGGAGGATGTAAGTCTACTTCCTATCTCTTCGAGAAGGTTTTATTGAACGTCGCTTTTTCATAGTCGGAAACTAAGCAACAATTTTTGGAATTTTCTGTACAAGATGGAAACTATGAACTGTGTAGTATCGATAATTGCGGGCGTGTATATTGTACTCTCTACCTCGTAAATATGCACTCTGCCAAACCCCTAAGTCGAACTAACTGAGGTGGTGGTGACGTCATGATGACGCACCACATCGATAACACTTGCACTGCATCTTATCAGATCTTATCTACTTCGCCCTTTTGCCTCCGTCGTCGAATCCCTTGGGCAGCGAAGCTCTCGCTAGCTGGGACTGCAGCAACCAGAAAACATGGCAGGACCCTCAAGCACTGGCGCAGCACCAGTATATGCAAGGAAAGCAAGACAGCACTGTGCAGCAACACGAAGTAATATACAGAAGCCGGGCATGTCCAGCTACGCTACCTTAGATGACTCCGGTCCACGTTTCCACCAAATCGACGGTGCAATAATTGTCTATTGGTACATATTGTTTTGTGATGATCTTGATCACCTCCTGCGCTACGAGGCCACCTAGCAAGGCTGCGGTATTGGGCAGCTCGGCCGTCGGTGCGCGGGCACTGTAAGATCGCTCAGCTAGGGTATTAGTATAGGGAAGGGAAGCACGTACACCTCGCCAACGGCATCGGGGAACTCATCGGGCAGTACGGTGCCGGGAGGGAGGAGCGCTTGGGCCTCGGCGGTGAGTGACTCGACGGAGGGTGCGACGCCGGGTTGTTTGACGAGTAGGGCGGAGAGGGCGGATAGGGAGAGGTGGATGGCGGTTTGCTTGGGCGAGCTTGCGAGAGCGTCCACTGTATATAACTTTCAGTCGAAGGTACATAGGGATAAGAGAGAATAGCGAACAGAGCGCAGCGTGGTCCGAGTCCAGAGCACCCCACTTCTTGCTACGTAGAACCTTTAGCGCATGTGCATTCTTCACGAACAAGTCGACCACGCTATCATCGATCGGGACGGCGAGGAACGACTTGAAGTGGGCTTTCTCTTCCTCTGCACGCGTCTTGTATAGCTTCTGCAGGTGGATGTAGCTGCTCGTGTCCGCCTTCATGTCTGGCAGCGTGCTCGTCAGGGGTAGGGTGTGCGGGGGCTCGAGCGTGAATTTCTGCAGCGCCGAGAGGAGATGGTAGAACGGTGGCGAGTCAGGTGTGGGCGACGCGACCTGTGGGTCTTGGAAGAGCGCCGCGATCTCGGAGGGGACGCCTGTCTCGGCAGTGGCGCGGTAGGCTTGTGCTTCGGCCTCGTCGAAGTTCTCTTCGTCGAATTTAGTCTTCATGGCGAGGATGCCGGCTTTGAAGGCTTTCTTCTCGGGGTATGTTTGGGGTGGCTTGCCGTCATGCTGCGGGTGAAGAAGATTGGTTCTGAGTTAGAAGATGAAAGGGTATGGGCGTACGGCTTTCTTCCAGTCTTCGAGCGCGCGGACGAGGATGATGACGTAGGGGATATGGCCGTGCTCTGTTGGGTCCATAGCCGCGAAGTCCAGGGAGAGCGAATACTCTAGAAGAGCAGGGAAGGCTTTGTCGATACGCAGTGATGGGACGGTCTCAGAGTGGCTTTCGATGACTACGCGTAGAAGTTGTTCAAAAAGGCGGAAACGCGTACGAAGGCATGGCTTACCGATGTGTTCGTGGTACTGGATGAAGAATTCCGCAAGGAAACCCGCCGATCTAACTACCACAAGCGGGGGGAACGTGTCGTCCGACCACAGCAGCGCCGAGAGCTGATCTGCCAATCTGGGCTCCAGGTTGTGGGCGATCACGAGCGTAAAGGACGCGAAATACGATGGATTGTTCTTTAGCAACTCCTCCACGTTCGATGTATCCGCAATGCCCACGACGCTCTCGTTGAGCTCTCCGAGTAGGCGCACGGCCTCTTCGGCGCGAGATTTGCTGATGCTGGAGGGGCCCTCGAGGAAGAAATTGTTGCCTGCGTCCTCGGGGGTCACCTTCCTGTCGTCGAGGATCGTGAATTTCCCGATCCCGGGGAGGACGAGGTTCTTGAGGATGGACGTGGATGTGGCGGACCCGGAGATGACTAGAAGGTGCGCGCTCTCCAATGCACTTTGACCTGCCGTTGCCCAGAGACTACATGCACTCTATATAAGACTTCCGGGGGCATGGGTTCGCGTGGACGTACCGAAGCTGGCGATCGTAGCGCCGGGTCTTGCTGTCTGGCTGTGCACTGGATGAGAGGACTGTTCAGGTGGTCGATCCTCCGGTAAAGAGCTCCCATACTCTGTGATTATCGTTGTAGTAACCGTCTGAATATCTTGGGCTTCTGCCATTGCGCGTCGATTGCAGGGTAGTATATATGTTAATGTGGGTGGTCGACGTCTAAGTCAAGCCTAGTTTGTCACGATTTGGCCACCTTCTGACCCTGACTGATCGTGTTTTGCCCAACTCCTTGACCACTCTTACATCCATTCTGGTCTCAGCCGATTGCTCAAACTATATGTCGGCCGTGCATCGCTGTTATGGGCAAGGAACAACGCAATCGCGAACTTGACATGGGAACGGGTTCGACAGGGCACCGCCTTTCCAGGGAAGCTCTTACTTAGGTGCTCTTAAAACCGTCGTAAGGAAGCTGGTCCTACTAGCACAATGTGGCGGTCATGTTCCTACTCAAGCTTGGCCTCGAGCACAGCGCCATCCCTAGCTGGATCGTCAGTGACCACGATTGGATTGGGTACAATATCCGGGCGGGCGATCCTTGCCCTAGGAGAAGCTGTGATATACGGGACACGTCAACTCACTCGATGACGTCGTTCCGTTCTCTCGTTGGCGTCCACAGCCATCTCTGCGCAGCCTCGGGACGCTCGTTTGTACCTCTCGGGATCCTCTGAGAGCAAGAGCTCCTCGAGTACTGTTCCAGGACCCGGTGAGCGAGAGCCGATGTGCTGCCGTATTTCTCTGGGACAACAGCCTGTGGCCGAACGACTTACCGCTCCACGTCCAGACACTGACACTATACGACCTTTGATAAACGACATCGTCCCAACTATGTGCTGTCTGGCCGTAGCTGGCTATGCCGTGGCCTTAGATTTGGTTGGACTTTATGCCGACCCACATGTGATGCGGTCTTTGTGGTGTCTGTAGAGCATGATAGGCTCGCATAGATGCATTCTCAATTTAACCCTCGTCTACACCGCCCATCATATCCATGCGATGAACGTAGTACGGGCCCCGCCTTTTCCTTCTGGGCCAGGACTGGTGGCTAACCTAACTGGTCCCGTCCTATCCGCCTCGCAAATTCAAATGATCTCTTGTCTTGCACGGCCGTGTGGCGAAATGGCATCGCGTCTGACTACGATTACTAGTATCAACTACTGTTACTTCGGAATCAGGAGATTGCAGGTTCGACCCCTGTCTCGGTCATACCCCATTTGTTCCACTGCTTATTCCAATTTTTATGCTGCGGAAGCAGGCGTGAGTGTATGGGAAGATATAGATTATCCATGACCGCGTTCCGTAGATAGCGTCAGAAAATCCGACAGCTCACCTGAATCTGCTCAAGACGATGACGAAATGTGTTTGGCACCAGAGGTGCAGACAGACAGACAACCCAGAATGACGACGCGTCGCATCATGGAACCTGACCACAAGGATCAATGTACAGAATAACCCAGACAGCGTGTAGAAATTGGCCGAAAAGCACTTTCACCTACCACCGTTGCCACTATGCTTCCTCAGCATCGCGACAACTCCCCACTTCAGCCCACACCTCAGACCTAGGCCTCCGCTCCACCCGCCCCCCAGACTCAAACTCCAAGCCCGACCCCTCAGACCGACCCCAAATATCCGACCAAGACTGGGAAATCCGCACCGGTGCGTCCCCCCCCCCTCCCTCCCATCCACCAAACACGCGTCCGTAAAGCCTTCTGAAGCTGCTTAAGGACGCGCCATATACGTGCTCCAACAGACCCTGCCCGAGTTCTTCCTCGTGGGGCTGGTGACCTCCAACGACAAGGACACGGGCTCGCCCAAGTCGGCGGCGGCGTCCGTGCCGGTGCTTAATGCGAACCCGCTGGATTCGCAGACGTATCGGGAGGAGGGCGTTGAGGTGATATATAGCGCGAAGATTCGGCTGTCGTATACGCCGCCTGTGGCGCTGCCCCCGCCGTTTCCGACGACGCTCCATATTGAAGGTACGTACATGTATTATACATTTGTTTCGTTGGGGATGATGGCTGAGGGGAGGTAGGACTACCGATGTATCTGACTTCGGCGGTGTTTATACGGCATACGCTTAATGCGTTGTACTCTGACCTGAATGTGGAGCTGCGGAAAGTGATTGTGAAGACGCCGCGCTCGAAGCAGAGTGTGTCGGGGGAGGTTACGCTTGAGGAACCAAAGCAGCCGTCACACCTGGCACAAAGAGGTAGAGAGAAGAGTCTGTTAGTTGGGTTCTGCGTTACAGGCAAGTCCAGAGTCAGCGGAGCACGAGGGCAATGGGAAGTGTAAGTCCAAGTCCTCCGCGTCCTCGCTCAACCTCCCATGCTTAACGGTATAAATCTGGCACAGAAACTCGACGTATTCGTTCTCGCCCAATACCGGGCTGATCGACAGGCATATCATTGACTCGATCTATCCGCCGCCACATCAGGCGGTGTATGATTCGCTCCGGATGAGCTTTGGGAAGGTGTTTGGGCTGGGGATGGAGGAGAGGGCGAGGGCGAGGTCGAATGGCGCGGCGTGTGGGGTAGCGGGCGCGGATGGGAATGGGAGAGACCGTTGATATATATGTCTTTTATTCCTGTGGCGCTCCTTACAGACGACTATAATCAACCCCTACTCCAAAAAGTATGAGAGCTTGAGCCTCTGCTCCTCAACCTCGCATGAGCCCCGATCTCACGGTATAATGCTCTCATACGTGAACGTACAGTGACTATAGTGTCGCCTTCACCTGCCTAAAGTGCGACCCTTGTCAATAACCACGAGCCCACGCTATTACTAAGGAAGTGAACTTACTTTGGCCTCCACGTCTTCTCCACCTCAAGCAACGACCCCACCGTATCCTCCACGCACCTCTCCCACCCAATATAACACCCCATCCCCAGATCCTCCTGCGCAGGCCCCGCATCAATCACACTAATCCTCCCCGGGAGCTTCCACGCCCCCTCCGTCCCCGGCAGCCGGCCCCTCAATTCCGGACGCGCCTTCCTTAGATGTTCCACCGCTTGTTTCCAGGTGAACGCGCCCCCGGAAATTAGGTACCGCTTCAGGGCCCGCCCGCTTGGGGGTGTACCGGAGAGTTTGAGGGCGGAGACGTGGGCAAGCGCGACGTCGCGGACGTCGCAGAAGAGCGGGGGGAGCTGCACGGGCAGTCGACGGCCGGGTTTTCCGGAGATGAGAGAGTAGATGAGGCGGTTGGAGCCGAGTTCGGGAAGGGTGGGTCGGGGGAAGCCGGGGGCGAGGGGGCCGTAGATGAAGGGGGGGTTTACTGGTGGTGGTGGGGTCAGTCGGGGGGTCAGTGCGGATGGATGAGGGGGAGGGGGAGGGGAAGGGAAGGGGGATGAGGGGAAGGGGGAGGGAGAGACTCAACTGGTGCTGAGGTCGAGCTGCGGGTGGGCCTCTGCGAATTTCCAGGCGGCTTGTTCGGCGAGGAGTTTGGTGGCTAGGTATACCCATAGGGGGTCGTGTTTCCCGCTTAGGACCTCTTCTCGGGTGGTGTGGCCCCAATCTGGAGGGGTTCGGGGGTTTTGAAAAGGGGGAGGGGGTGGGGGGACGGACCTGATGAGGTGAATGTTTGTCCGGAGTATGTTTGGGAGAGCGATACTAGAGAGGGGGGGGAGGGTGAGCCTGTGGATGTGTTAGGTATTTGGGTTTGGGTACGCACGGTCGAGTGTGGTAGCCCAGCTGCTTGTTAGCACCACCTTGTTCACACCCGCCTCCACGGCTTGGCGCAGGACGTTGAGCGTGCCATCCAGCGCGGACTATCGTGGTTTTTCAGTATGCGCACAGGAGGAGTCAAGAGGTGACTTTGGGGACGCACGGCGAGCGCGACGGCTGGCGGGATGTTCCCGGCTAGGGGGGGTGGCGACGTGGATGATGGCATGGACACCTGGTTAGCTATTTTAGTCGTGGGCGTCCGGCGTTTGAGATGGGAAAGGACCTTTGAGGGCTTGAGTCAGATCTCCGGTGGCGACGTCTTCGAGGTGGACCAGGGTAAGATCTGGATGTGTTGCACAGATCGTGGACTGTAGGCCCTTCAGTCTTCGCGACCTTGCAGTCCTGCCAATATCCCTCGCGCATGAGTTTATTCTTTGGAAGGAGGGAGGAGGGGGGGGGATGAGGAAGGGCGTACCCACGGACGGCAAAGCCTTCCTTGAGGAGTTGGAGCGCGACGTGGGAGCCTACGAACCCGGAGACGCCTGTGACCTATTAATTACTGTGAGGTGAGTATGGTTTAGCGTTTTTGGGAAGGGGAGAGGGGACTGACGAGGACTGTGGGTTTCATGGGGGTGGGCGTTTTTCGATGCCTGGGGAAGGGGGAGTTATTCTAGGTGCGGCTGGGTAAGTATCGCTTCCGAGAACGATTAGGTTGTGATATCACATTCTGTTATAAACCCATTTGAACATGGTGTCCATGCGAGATCAGAAGGTCGGAATGGCAAGCAAATGGCAAGAGCTCCAATGGCACCTGGGGGAGCGCGGCACTTGGCAGAAGAAGAAGACTCTAACGTCTCGCATTCAGGCCGTAGACGATCATGAAGGTCAACATGGTTGTTGAAGGAGCTAGGTTCAGATCTCCGGACTAGACCGTGCAACATCGGAAAGTTTACTTGTACGGCACTGGAAGCCGTACATGAATTCCAAAGGTTCCGCTCTAATTCTTACGTAGAGGCCGCCATCACATATGAGGATAGCTAGGGCGCTCATGAAATGAAATAGTATTGGCCTGATTATCACCAAAATGCTGGTCCTACAACCAAAGTGCCCAAAAACACCATATAGTGATTGGCAACATGCTAAATTCCGGTCCCTACGTCTCGAGCGTATTTACGACATCGATAACAAGGTGTGTAGTGAAAAAGTGAAGGGAATCAGCAAATGAAGTGGTATGATGACGGGGACGCGAGCTGAATCAACCAGCAACATCTCGTCCCCCAAAAGAAAGCTGAACGGGAATATAAGGTGATAAGAGCGATGCGTGGTATCTTGGGGGTGTTGCAGGGCGATTTAGAGCTCGTCGCAGAAAGGGAGGTCTTCGTCATCATCGTCATGTGCAGGGGGCGCAGGGTTCACAGGCTTGACGGGGCCCTTGGTGGGTGCGGGAGCGGGGACACTGGGAGCAGCAGGGACGCCGGTGGGGTGTGTTGCGGGCTTGGCTGTGACGGGGATGGAGGCGCCGGGAATGAATCCACCTGCAGGGACAGGGGGGACTTGCACCTTGTCACCGATGCAAAGGACCTAGATGTTGTTTGGTCAGTACCTTCTCCGAGCAGGGATAAATAGCAAAAAGTGGAAGCGGGGAGGAACGGAAAAGGAAAAAGGATTGGGGTTGAAGAATATTTTCGGGGTACTAACCTCGCCGATGTAGATGTTGTTGCAGCCCTCGTCAATTTGGGGGTTGTTCAGGTGGAGGATGGTGGAGTTGATGCGGTGGTGGGAGGCGATTTGCTCGCAGGTGTCATCGGCAATGACAGTGTAGGTCGACGAGCAGTCCTCGCCAATGTAACCAAGGCAGATTTCCTTGCCAGGGATCAGGTTTCCGCAGGAGTTGTCGATGGTGCCGACGTTGATAGCAGAGAGCTGGTAGCTACGTGAGAAGAATTTGAGTGAGCAAAAGTATTCCAAAATGTTATTTCAGGAAGAACTCACGTCGAGACGTTCTTGGCCGCAGAGATGCTGTCACAGATGTCCCCCTCCTGAATAGTGTACTTCCTAGCGCAGTCTTTGGCAAGCACGGCTGTAGGCGACCACGTCAGCTGTCAAACTAGCATTCAAACTGGTGGAAAGACAAACATTGTGCGAGGAAGGGCAGAGCGAGGAAAGCGGCGGAGAAGAACATTATGGTGCTCGTGGGGTGTGTTAAAGAGTGAATGAATGTAAAAGAGGGACTGGAACGTCTAGAGACCGTGCGGTGGCGAGGAGAGATGGAAGATGAACTATTCTATCAAAATTCTTGGGTATATATACCTCGGCAACTTCCTTGGCGTGGGCGTCGTTAAGGAGACCGGCCCATTCTTACCTCACAACTGCCTTGATCCCTCTTGAACCCATTTCGCAGATAATATTACCTCCCCAAAGTCTTTGCCTTCAGCAAGGCAAATGTTTCTAGCCCTATGGAAAGAGAGACCGCCGATTTTTCTGAGGCTTTCTTGTGCCAGCACTAGCAGCGCTTGGCAGTGATGGAATTCCATCGGACGTTGATT